CCTCTCCTCTCCTCTCCCTATGCTTCTATATGCCTCCATTACACATTACTAACTTTGTGTCTCCTCTCTCCCGTAGTGTGTCCTCTCTCTCTCCCTGTACTTTTCTGCAGATTGCCCTGGCCCTGGAGCTCTACATCTCTGACGAGCAGTAACCAGCCACATCGACCTGATCGGTGTTTGATTGTTGTGTCTTGTTGCTTTTCTTCTTTTGTCTCTCCTCTATCCACTCACCCCAACCGGTCGAGGCAGAAGGCCACCCACCAAGAGCCGGGGTCTGTCGGAGGTTTCTTCCATTAAAGGGAGTTTTTCCTCCCCACTGTCGCCAAGTGCTTGCTCAAAGGGGATTTGTTGGGTTTTCCCTATGTAATAATATTGATAACAGTAAGGTCTAGACCTTACTTTGTAAAGTGTCCTGAGATGACTTTTGCTGTGATTTGGCGCTATACAAATAAAATTTGATTTGATTTGATTTGATCTTCCCGTCCTTGATTTAGGTCATGCTCTTAGCAGTTGAAAAGGGTGCTCATTAGTGTTTGTGTGTCCGTGTGCGCTCATACTGTGTTTGCTAGTTACTGCAGCATCACAGTGAAAGCAAGAGAAATGTGGCTTCCCTGTTGTGAAATTCATCTCGTATGCAGTGACAAGCAGCAGCACGGATAGAAGCATCACAGTTTTGGATGATAACAGAAAGAATAATGATGCCATGTACAGAATCCTGTTAAAAATACTGTTTTCCATTTGTATTACTTACTGTAAGCACAGTATATTGCATATTCACATCTCAAAGGATTCTGTATTTTTCTCAGCTTTTAGGTAAATAAGTAAACTCACTGAATAATAAAACCGGTTCACAAACTTTTTACATTTAACTTTTACTGCACCTCATTAAAACCAATAAACCACTAAATGAAGTGCAAAACCTGAAAATCTGGTGAGACTGCTAGATTTATTGATCAGAGTAGATGTCTTTTTGTTACTATTGCCACAACACAAAAAGGAGTATAAATAGATACACTGGCATTTCAGGGACTAGGGAGTGATCTGATATTTTCCAGGAAATTAGGAGACATACATGGGATAAACTTGCAGAGCCTGAGAAAAAGATAATGCTGCTTGGGTACAATTTGCACTTTCTCGTGGGACTAAAACAAATTAAGTTCCTACAACAACGGTCTTTGCTTTGATTACAGCAGTTTTAAACAGGTCAAGCCCACAGCAGTAGCATGCAGCCTCAAGGACTATTACTTAGGGAGCACATTTTTTTTATTTGCTCCCACATTTTCATGTACTGTACTATATAGCACTTTATTAGCAGTGCTTTTGACTTTTAATGAAATGTCTTTACAATTATTGGATGGACTGCCATGCATGTACCGGTATAGTTGTGCACAGAGAGTGAATGCTAATGACTTTGTGATCCCCTGACTTCTCCTCTAGCACCACCAGCAAGTCACTATTTTAAAATTAAGATGGTAACATGGTGAATACTATACCCACTTAAAGGATAAGGCCAGTCATTTTCTATACTAATAGTATTTTAAGCATATTGATAGCATTTTCAGCAATCTTTATGCAGAGACTAAAATCAACAATGAATTGTATCTACTCACGGTTAATGTCTGTCAGTCCTGGATTAACTTGTCTGTGGGATAGATCTTCGCTGTTGTTCAAAACTGATTAAAACACATCAGTGAAACACACCGCTGCATTGGATTACACAATTTTTGATTATGAATCCCAAGACCAGAGTACGCTGCATGCTAGCTTGTTGAAAATAGCATTTAGCTCAAAGCACAGCTGTGCCTAAATCCAGCCTCACACAGAGCTGTTAGCATGGGTCTAGATCCTTAGTCTAAGTTTAAACTCTGTGTATGTGTATTATGTTGTTCTATGACCAAAACAACCTTGAAAATGTTTGTAACCTGGTTGAATGTGTAGATAAAAGAGCAGTAGGAGGTGAGATGCACTATACAATTATATCAAGTATCAACTTGTCAGGTAAGTATCTAAACCAGGAGAGTAAACATGGTGCCATCCAATGCCAAGAGTGTTTTCACATGATTGTCCTTTATCTACTCCTTCACTGTCAAATAAGCCAAATCTCCACTCCACCCTCTCCTCTTATGAAGCTGGTCATTGATCTCTCTTTAACTCATTCCCACAAATGGAACTGCTCCCCCTTTATTCACCCTGTGGAGAGATTACAGGCTGGAACAGATGAGATTAAGCACACAGCAATGCTGAGATATGGACCTACAGTCCTCAGCAGAGAGAGAAGGCAACAGTGACACTATGCTGCAGAAATCTTAGTTAAGTGCCAGACCTCACTAAAGGATTAATGCAAGCATATGGAAAACAGAGCGACTGTAAACAAGCTCATTAACAGATATTTAGAAAACTAAAATAACACCCAACATAAGCCAGCACAGAGTGTCCTTGCTGCCACGTCCTTGCAGAAGCAGTCAAACCAACTGATTAATGATCCAGGAGTAAGAAACACACACAAAGGCAACCAGGTACTATGGGAATCAATTCATGACATTTTATTTTGTGACCCCAGCTGATGTAGTGGCCAGAGAGCGGCACAATACATTCTCAGCACAAGTGTGTAGTAGAGAACACACACGTTCACACACCAGCCCTCCGCTATCTCAAGGCAGTCATTTCTAATGTGGCTTTATTTGTAAGAGTAGGACTGAAGAGAGAATGAGGAAATGTAAGTGTGTATATGAACACAAATTATATGGATGCTGTTTAATTATGAGGAAACTCTTTTACGGAGCTTAATCTTCTTTGTCTCAATGTACCTGAATTCAGTGAAACATTAGAATACAGTACATAAAATCATATAAAACATAGATGCTTCTTTAAGAGGGTACAAACGATGTCAGCAGGCCATTCCTTTGAAAGCTTGCAGGTGTTGACGGAGCTGGTCAGCGCTTTCTTTGGCTGTAAAAAGCTGCTTTTCACACCACTGAACCAGAGCCTGCTGCAATATCTCCACATGGACTCCCTTGAACCGTGCAATCTGGGAGACATAAATCACAAGCATGTTAATACACAGTATGGCAAAAAGCAGGGTGCTATACAAAAATAAATAAAACTGAGGTTGTTAGGTAAATAAACCATTGTTAACATGGGTGTTTTACCTCCTGTTTAGCCAGTCCACAAATATGAATAAACTCAGTCTCTGTTGTTTTCTTCATTTCCTCCATCTAATGAATATGGAGAGCAAGTCATCATCATTATATGCATTGGTCTTCATCAGAGTGAATTTTACTTGTCATCTCATCAGCCTTCCTCCTGTGGGGTGGGGGTCTATCCTGAATTATATCAGCTGAACAATACTGACACCTGCTGGTCACAAGAAGGGATGTACATCTGCTCTAGCTGTGTGCTCATGTAGTGCACATGGGTGCAGGCCATCGACTGTACAAACGATGGACAGGCTAAGAGATCCCAGAAGTGAAGCCACAAAATTTGATCGCCCCCTTGGTGGCTGGTTTCAGTATAGATCATAAACCCTGCTTTCTCCTATGTTAGTGGGCGGGACATGAGCCAAACTAAAAACTCAAAGTAGAAATCAAATACATTTTTCCGGGAGGCCACTTCTGTGTTTCTTTTTTTTTTTTTTTGTAAATATTATCACACTGTTGTGTGTAAAAGTGTTGATTTTTCTGGTACGTTTGTTTTTTGATGATATAAATGGGATGTATTTCAGTTGATTTGACAGCTTTGACTGATGGTCTGATGCTGTCACTCCACTTCTGGACACTACTGCACAGAATCTGGTTGCAAAAAAGGCAAAATGGCAGTCACTGTATTCCTGACATTTTGGCTGGATTTTTGCATAGTGGAGGGAGGTGGTGATACCATGTCCATCATACTGTATATATGTCAGTGGTGCAGACACTTACAGCAGCCTTTTTTACAGGTTTGGCTTTCTCTGCATTCCTCCTGGCAGTCTCTAACTCCACCAGTTTACATGTTCTCCTGAAGAGCATTTCCTGCATTGGATATCATGTTGCACAAGAAAAATCATTAATAGGTTTCCATGTGACATGTCCTAGTTCAAAAGAAGGATTCAAAGTGGATGGATTCACACCATATATAAAATGAAAACACACCTTCTGTGCCTCTTGGTAGCGCGAGTCCAGGTCCAGGCCTAGTCCGAGAGTGCTCACGTTGTTCTCAGCAACACTCACCATATTTTTCTGCCCACACACAAACACATTATGCGCAGATTGTTTGACAAAACAATGGTGTATTGCGATGCAACACTATTAGGGAGGGCAAAAAACATACCTTCATAGAATCAAAGACTTCGGATAATTTCACACATAGCCTGTAAGAAGAAAGCATTGTTGATTTGTTTACATTTTTACACTCATTTACTGTAACTGGCCTGGGACCAATACTACTGTCTCACTTAGAGAATGCCTGTTTGTCAGGATCCTCCCCTTGTTCCACACAGAGATGCAGAGCAGCTGAGAAATGCCCACAGGCCACAGCTATTTCTGCAAACAAACAGAAAACATACACAATAACATCATCAATTCAATTTGTATTGTGATGTGACAAAACATTAATACACTACATATGCAACCTTAACTATTAACTGATGAACCTGAACACACAAATACCAACAGTGAATTACAACTGATGATCACTTTGTCTGTTCTCTGAGTAAAAAGCAAAGCACTTTTCTTACTCTGCTCAGTTAGCACCACATCCAGGAACTTCTGCAAAAAGATTTGTGTTCAAAATTCAGACAGGATAGAGTGCATCTGAAAATGTGAAAGAAGAAAACATGGAAAGGGACAAACGGATTAAAAACAAATATACGACAGCTCACCTCAGCTGCATTCTTGGCACAGCCAGTTAGAAGGAGATTATGATCACGTTGGGTTTGAAAGAACTCGTCCACATCCTGCAGACACAAGCCATTACAGCATTAAAGCTTCGCATACTGTTCAGGTGCAGAGGCTGTAAATTCTGTCTGAATGAGTCCCAGGTGTGTACCTTATGGCCTTCTTTCCTCATCTCTTCCACAGCTTGACTCAGCCGGTTTAAAATGTTTTTCCTTAGAATTTGTCTGCCTGGAGGCTACACACACACAATTAAGCACACGTTTTTAAAGTTAACACTGTATAAGTGCAGTATACACATACAGTATGTGAAATGTTCCCAACATAAGTAGACTTCTTTAAGACAGATACACTATGCTAACAACAAAATGACAATCTTATGCCAAATATATGGAGCATTAGAACACAATGAACTAACCTGACCAGATACAAAACATATTCTTGGAATAAAAGACAGTTATTCCAGACATGATGAAACAAGATTTGAAACAAGTCCAACACTGTTACAAACTCTGACTTATATCTGAAGACATGTTGTATTTTAATACATTTGTGATACAGAATTGAAACAATCATTTGTGTTATTTACTCCCTATATCAATATATCACTCTGTTTCCCATCAAAAACATATATTTTGTATGTGCCACATGCAGCAACTGAACACTCCCTTGTTAGGGGCTACAGTGTGACAACAGCACCATTTTAACAACTTTCTTAAACAAAGGTTTTATAAAAACAGTTGGAAACATTTCTTTGACTCAAGCACTGAGACCATCGACTGTAAAAATGTTGGACAGGCTAAGAGCTCCCAGAAGTGAAGCCACCACGAGTCAATTGCCTTCTGGTGGCTGGTTGCAGTATAGATCACAAATTCAGCCTCCTCCGTGTTAATGGATGGGACATGAGCCAAAGTAAAAAGTCAAAGTGCAATTCAAATACATTTTCCCCGAGAGGTCACTTCTGTGTTTTTGGTAGATATTATCATGTGTATGTGTGTACAAGTGATGATTTTGTCTGGTAAGTTTGCTTTTACTACATTATTTGATGATATAAAAGAGGTGTTTGTAGTTGATTTGTGGTTTGGTGCCGTCACTCCACTTCTGGTCACTACTGCACAGAATCTGGTTGCAAAAAACCAAGATGGCAGCCGCTGTATTCATGATATATTGGCTTCATTTTTGCAAAGTGGAGGGAAGTGGTGACCTCATGTCCATCATATATATATGTCAGTGGTTGAGACTGTGTGGTTTCACCCTACTGATGTTATTCACAGGTAAACTTCACTTTATCACTTAGTACCTTTTGAAAATTTCAAGGCACCCATTTTATGACATCTTATTTTCCAGCTTCACAAGAACCATCTGAACAAACCACTGGGTTCAGTCTGTGGGCTGCAAGGAGAAATTTGCTATGCTACACTGCAGACCATTTGGAAGATACAATATTTGTCACTTTCTGTCTCACCTGAAACAGCTTATATGGACGTTTAACCATTTACTGTCTTTCCCTCTCATAAAATCATATCATGCTGTGCATTCTTTGTAACATAAATGATCTATTTTTACTGGGAACCATCATAATAAAAAGAGGATAAAAAAAACAAGTAAGCAGTTTACTTACATCTGAGCTGGTAAGGAAGATCTCCACACATTTATTTTTGCTGAGTACGCTGTGTGAAGCCACCTCCTGGAGGAAAGTTTCCAGTGCTTTACAGTACGGCTGCCACTCTCCCAAACCAAGGAAACCTGCAGGAAGCCAGCAGCATTTTGACATTTAACATCACACTGAAATGAAAAATATATTTGGCAAAATTTACTTTCAAATCTTTATTTTAATTTATTGTGCAGTGTTTAATATCTATTTGTGTGGACGTGGTCTTCAGATGTACTCACCAAGCTGTTTCATAACCTTGGCAGAGTTATTCACCTGAGCCTTTGTAGGAAGAGGAGGAAACTAGAGGGATAAAAAAGGAATACAATTCTATTACAGCCCATATTGTTTTGCAAAGAAAGATTTCTTCTTATTCTTGGCTTTGGTGATACACTTAAATTAGTTTAATGCTGTTTGAATTACTGTACACAGTGCTTAGAGTATCAATATGTACACAACATGATCTTCATTTTCTACAGTACTGGGACACTGGGCAGAAACAGCTATTAAATCAGCTTCCTGATTACATAAGTAAGGAGGATGTAAAGAAGAGGAAGGAGGATTTTAAAAGAAACAAAATTCTCCCCATAACTTGAAAAACAGCAGCACATTTTCTAACCTGCGTTTAAATAACATGATGTGAACATTTTGGTTTGCAATTATAACTAATTTACTTGACCTATAACCGTCTGTCTAGGTTTACAGTTCAAATAAGGGATTGAAGGCAAATGAAATAACGTGTACTGACTATGACTCCCTGTATCCCGGGCACGTCCTCCTGAGAGAACAGGTGCTGCTGCAGCCATTCAAAATCATCATAGGTCCGGTACACATGGTATTCCCCTGTCCCAGACAGCTGGCACACACAGGAGACACCAAATGTCATCTGAGCAATCTGCTCAGCTTTGCAATATCATAATTCAAACACATCAGCCAACCTATATACTAGTGGTCTTGAGTAATTTTATCAATGCTTGCTAGAAACAACCAGTGATTTAATCATTTTATCACCTTTTCAGAGACGATTAGAAAGGTAAGCGTTTCTCCGTCTTTCAGCACCTCTGCAACTTTGATGTTATGACCATGGACACTCAGAATGGATGTCACTTCTTTTACCTCTTCCTGTAATAAAAATAGTAATTTAAACAATACAATTAAGAGGAGTAAATTCACACTAGTAAGCAACCTAAATTTTAAAGAGAATAAAAAGCTCCTACTGTATATATACATTCCTACCCATATTAAAAAGTTGTCACATGATACTCAGAGGTTCTTTAAAACAACCACATTTTCAAGGAATACTTACCATCATTATCAAGTTCTTAAGTTAATATTCCCAGTCTGTCTCTTGTCTGGTTTGTTGAATGTTTAAAATCCCCCTTTTTCCTCAATAACAGTGCCTAAAGCTTCAAAGCTCTTTGGTCTTATGTTGGCCTTAACGTGCTCATGCTCCAACTGCTGAGAAGGCACAGGATATCCTCTGGGTCAAAGTGCACACTGGTCCTGATAGAAATGGAGTTAAACGGTGCCAAATCTAAAAGTGCTGGCGCAGGGGGAAAGATCAGTAAATGGTGTGTTAGTCGTTAACTCTGTGGCCTCTGACACGCCCACACAGGAAAAGTGGCATAACAGTCCAATCAGATATCCAGCTGTGAGCCTTACAACCTCACAAAACTGTAAACAACCACTGGACTTACTGTACAAGCCATCTCATAAAAGAGGCTGAATACAAGGCATATGTACTGGGTAAACACTTTAATATGGACACAATGTTTTCACAAAAGACAATACAATTAAGGAGTAACAGCTGTACATGACAGAGGACATAAAAACCCAATATTAGTAGTGGTATTCTTCCTCATTTTCATCCCCATCCTCAAAATAGAAGCTGAATCCAGGAACCTCAAAACTGTAATGTTCATATGGACCATCTTCATCCTCTCCATCCTGATGAACGCTCCACTGGAAGTGTGGACTATCATCGAAGTCATGGAAGAAGTCTGAGAAACTGAAGTGAAAATTTGTCTCATCCTCATCATTGGGGTCAACAGAGGCCATATTTTGTAGGAAAGCCTCATGGCCTGTGCTGTCATACAGCCTCCTTTTCTCCTTGTTGGAAAGCACTGTGTAGGCTAGGGGAGAAGAAGGCAATCAAAAGTGCAAAAACAAGACAAAATATTAGAACACCTCACCGAGTATCTCAGTACCATAGTTCAACACAACACAAACTGCATCGTTATGAATAAACAACATCTGAACTGCTAAAACAGTATCAACAAAACCTGAACCTTAACCCTCATGAAGGTAGGACTGCATCAGTTTTAGAAAATGGCAACCGAGTTACTAAGTTGTGTTGTAGGCATATGTTACCTTCAGTAATCTCTGTGAAAGTCTTCTCTGCATCAGTGCTCTTGTTTTTATCGGGGTGGTACTTCATGGCCAGCTTTCGGAATGCCTTTTTTATCTGGCTGTCAGTTGCCGTTGGCTCAACATTGAGGGTATCATAATAACTTCTGCTTGTTTCTGAGACAGCAGGCTGCGTTTCAGATAAGCAGAGCAGCAGGATGACACAGGCTTGTATCCAGTGGAAAACACTTTGCGCTGCCATGTTGAGCGCCTGATCGAGCACAGAAACTCGAGTAAAACTCGGAACACAAAACAGTTTATCAGGAAGTGCAGCTATTGTGGTTGGGTGACGGCTCATATTCAAATAAAGCTATATTTAGACTGATCTACGCGTCAGGAGTAGCAACATCTGTCCTATACTTTTGCCTCTAACCCGAGGTACACTGAATTTTTTACCCAAATTGTTAATTTGCGCATATTTCAGCCAAATTACATCAAAGGTGCATCAAAGTAACCGGGACCCCGTCCCTAGCTAATTTTGCTCATTATCTTAGCTCACCGTGTTTTAGTAAAAGTGCTAAAATCCACCTTTACAACATGCATTGGTTCATGCTGTCCTGGTAAAAAAAAAACTAACTAAACATGTTAGGTAACTATTTTAAATGGCGACGTTCAAACCGAGGAGGGCAGCAACACGCCATTACTGCGCCAAGTCTGCCTAACAAACGAAGAAGAAACAGAAAGAGACGTCTTCTTCGTTGATAGTGAAAGGTGCATTAAATATGTGGTAAACAGCACTGGGGCTTTGAGAAATTACAAACATAACACGGGCCCGTTTGCTGTTTTATCAGAAATATTTCTGCGGCTTACATAAATTCAGAGCAAGACGTTGCTGTGTGAAAGTCACTCAGCTATTCTCTGGATCTTACTCCTGTTTTGTATTTGGTAAGACAACATTCTAGCATTTAGCCAGCAAAGTTAGCCAATATAGCGCTCGCTAGCTAATAATAGCTAGTCAGCCTGACGGACTCGCAGCACCATTTTAGATTTAGCAGTTACTCATTCGGGAGTATGATACCACAGAGTGTCCTTTATTTACCAACAGACAGCATGTGTATTAATTTCAGTGCGGTATGAATCTAATGGATAATTTGTGTTACTTTATCCCACTGTTGCCTACTGTTCATTTTCCACAAACACCACCAGCGAACAACTTATTTACTAGCCATTGTCATGTGCTAATATTTCAGCTCCGTACTTGTCTAGTTTAAATTTAACGTCACATTTTTCCTTGAAATCTGTCACATTTTCTGCACTTCATTAATAAATATTTCAACATTGGTTTGTATTGTTTTTCCTCACAGAGCTCTGAATGGGAGTTTGCACAACTTCAAGACAAAAACTCTTCATAACTTCTTCGCTTTTCTATGTGAATGTTTATCAGGTCGCGTCATCCCCGCTCATACACATGAGTGCTATTTTCTCCTTGAGCTGGGCCAAGCGCCATGCCTGACCGGGACAGTTCCTACCTGTCAGGTGGTGGTGGGAGTGGTGGTAGTCTGGGTGAGGAAGGAGGACCTGGTTCTGGTTTGGCAGGGGGCTCGTTAGAAGGCAGAGGGGGTTCAGGAGGAACTGTTGGTGGCAACGTCTCTGGCTCTGGGGGAATGGGGGCAGGAGAGGCACTTGGGAAGGGCAATAGTTGTGGGAATAGTGGGTGTGGGGGACAAGGTGCAGGACTGGCATTGGATGGTGTCTGCAGAGACTTCATACGCAATGTCTGCAAAAGAGGGAAGCGCTGCCGTTTCAGACACCCAGACTTCAATGAGGTGCCTGATTTGGGAGTGCAAAAGAATGAGTTCATCTTTTGTCATGACTATCAGAATAAAGAGTGTATGCGCTCCAACTGCCGCTTTGTCCACGGATCTAAAGAGGATGAGGACTATTACAAGAAAACAGGAGAGCTACCCCTCAGATTAAGAGGGAAAGTTGCAGCACGACTGGGCCTTTCCCCCATGGATCTCCCCCGCAGCCGTGGGGAGGTCCCTATTTGTAGAGACTTCTTGACAGGAGAGTGCCAGAGGGGCAACAAATGTAAATTCCGCCATGTCAAAAAAGACTATGAATATGAAACTTCCAGGGTTGGAGTGGGTGGTGTAATGGGGGCAGGTGCCGGTGGAATGGTGAATGCTGGGGGAGGGATAGGTGGTGGAGGAGGAGGTGCCTGTGGAGGAATACAGGGACTTGTTGGAGGTGGGAATAATATGATTGGGATGGGCTGCCCCAGCTTGGGTGGTTGCAGGGATACAGGTATCACAGGAGTCGGGGGAGTAGGTGGAGGTGGGATGAGTGGTTGTCTGTCTATAAATTCTTCTGGACAGCGACGTTATGACAGAACCTCATGCTCAGTTTATGACCCTCTGCTTGAGAGTGGGCTGTTTGATGCTGGTTCCCTGGAGGCTTCTATGGACCATACTGCTCTACAGCTGAAGAGGCGGCGATTGGAGGGGCTGCGCCTTGTAGATGGGACTGCTGGTGGTCACTATGAGCTGGGAGTTCAAGCCACATTGCCACCACGTCCTTTGGAGTACAGGTTCCTGGAGGAAGAAAACTCCCTGCTGAGGAAAAGAGTGGAAGAGCTGAAGAAGCAGGTTAGAATAAAAAAGCATGACTGAAATACTGAAGAACATCTACATACTGTGAAGTTCAGCACAAAGACCTGAGTCCTTTATCCCAAACTTTTTCCACTTTATTGAAACTTCATTATTAGGCACTGATACAAAAATACCCTTCTGAAATGATACCTGACTTCTAGGATTTTCTCACAAGAATAGAATAGCACATATATCAGTTAAATGTAAACCCACACTTGCAGTTAATATATACATGTTTTTAAGTTGTTTTTTTTTTATAGAATTGAGTCAGCATGTTTCTCACACAGTCTTAACAAATATAGAATATAATGTGCTTTAAAAGCTCAATTCAGTTAAAATTTATTTGTACAGTGCCAAATCACAACAAAAGTCATCGCAGGATACTTTACAAAGTAAGGTCTATACCTTACTATTATTATTATTATTATTATTATTATTATCATCATTATTATTATAGAGGAAAACCCAGCAAATCCCCATTGAGCAAACACTTGGTGACAGCAGGGAGGAAAAACTTCCTCAACAGGGCTGTTGTTGTCAGTTGCAGTGTATTATATATGTCTTATAAAACTCAGTTTAAATTTGAACTGAATTCAGTGTAACTTCCAAACCTGTGTTTGAAATTTGGTGTTAGGGCTCCACTTCACACTTAGATCACACGTTGCTCCTTTTAATAGTTGAGTAGCAATGTTGAGACCACTTCCTCAATAACAGAATTTGATGAAGTGTTTAGTGTTGGTGCACAAACTAAATGTTAAGAAATGTTGTCAGTGAACAATTTGCTTTTTACTATGAGGTAGCATTTAAAAGTATTGTATTTAAAAGTTTCTAGATTTGTATGTTTTTGTACTTCAGTCCTCGGGCCTTGTTTCTTTTTCTTTTTTTTTTTCTCCCCACACACAATTTTATTGAATTTTTGCAGAGAACAGTGCAACAAAGCATCATGAGGATTCAATGGACATGTTTACAATTCAATCCCGAAGCAAACCAGAGGGAACAATGAACATTATGAAAAAAAGAACAAAAAAAAACAACAACGCTGCATCTCTAACACCCCACCCATAAAATGAACATTACTCTGGAGAAGTAGGGAGATCCAGGTTCCCCACATATTCATAGAAGGGGTCCCACATTCTAAAAAACGTACCCAAAGAGCCTCTCAGCATATTCCGTATCTTTTCCAGTCTAGCAAAATAAAGAACGTCTTTAATCCACTGAATGTGTGATGGTGGTAATTTAGATTTCCACTGTAAAAGAATTAAGCGCCTAGCTAACAGACAAACAAAGGCTGCAAATGACTCCTGCATGGGAGATAACGGTGATGTTGGCGGGGGTACCCCAAATAAAGCCATACAGGCAGTAGGTATGATCTGTTGTCCAGTAACCTTAGACAATGTTCCAAAGATGTCTCCCCAGTAAGACTTTAAGACAGGGCACAGCCATAGCATGTGGGCATGCGTTGCCGAAGCCTGATTACATCGATCACAGACCGGGTCTATATCCTTAAACATTTTTGACAGCCTTACCTTTGTAAGGTGAGTACGATGGACTATTTTACACTGTGTAAATCCATGTTTGGCACATATAGATGACCCATGTATCCTCCGAAGCACTTTTTCCCACACCTTGTCAGCGATCTCTTCACCCAAGTCTTCCTCCCAAAGTATTCTAAGGGGATTTATGGGAGTCATTCGCATAGAGTGGATTTGGGCATAAATATATGAGATCATACCTCCCAAAGCTGGTACTGGTTTAAGTAGTGCATCTAGTGGTGTTTCAGGGGGTGGGGTAGGAAACTGAGGAAACCTATTTCTAACGAAGCTACGGACTTGCAAGTACCTGAAAAAATGTTGCCTAGGGAGAGAAAACCTTTCAGACAACTGCTCAAAAGATGCGAAGCTATTGTCTGTGTATAAATCCTTAAATGATCGGATGCCTAGGCTGGACCAGAGAGTGAATGCCCCATCCACTAGTGATGGACTGAAGACGTGATTTGCAGTTATAGGGGCATATAATGAATATGTCTGGAGGCCAAAAAAACGTCTAAATTGTTTCCAAATCCTTAATGATGTTTTAACAACAATACAACAATATTCTTTATATACTCTGTGGAGGCACACTTAATAGGAGAGTGAACCAAAGCAGACAAAGATACCGGCCGACAAGTATTGGCCTCCATTGCAAGCCAAATCGGAGAGGGAGAAAATAAATCAGGGTGCAACCAGAACTGCATTATCTTGAAATTTGCTGCCCAATAATAGAACCTAAAGTTAGGGAGAGCCATTCCTCCAAGAGCCTTAGGCCTCTGCAGTAGATGTCTACTCATCTATGGGGATTTTTTGTTCCAAATAAAGTCAGAAATAAGGCTATCGAGTTTTGAGAAAAAATGCTGAGGTAAGAAAACAGGAATACTTTGAAACAAGTACAGAAATTTAGGAAGTGTATTCATTTTTACACTATTGCCTTGTTTCTTTTTCTAATCCATGTGCACATTTCTCAGGTTTCAAATCTCATCGCCACAAATGAGGTTCTTCTGGAGCAGAATGCCCAGTTCCGGAGCCAGGCTAAGGTGATGACTCCTGCGCCCACTGAGCAGAGTCTGGCACCCCCTGTGGGTGCAGTAAGTTCCTATAATCATAGCATCGCCCAGACTCACACCACCCTGAGCAGTGCAGGACTGCAGCCTCGGCCTGTCACCCAGCAAGACCTGGTAGCTCCCACTGGTGCCCCTGCAGCGCCACCAACTAATGCTGCTCCACCTACAGCTCCTCCGCCCCATCTCAACCCTGAGATCACCCCCCTCTCAGCTGCCCTTGCACAGACCATTGCACAGGGGATGGCACCCCCTGTTTCTATGGCACAGGTGGCTGCATCTGTGGCACCAGTGGCAGTATCCATGACACAGCCTTTGCCTGGCATCACCATGAGTCATGCCACCACCCCGATGGTGTCGTACCCCATTGCCAGTCAAAGCATGAGGATCACCTCTCTGCCTCACTAAAGGATTCATAGACAGAACTGTGGCACCATCCATGGGGATTTTTAATTTAGATGGTCTCTAATGTGTTTAAGACTGAGCTGAACAGATGTAACACCCTTGTGCTTCTCCACCAGAGGGCAGGATCAGGACTTCTCTGTTCAGCCTACTTCATATCACTGTTGCTGTGGCAGCATTACAAATACAGACAGACTGACCTGTGAACTCTGGCAAAGATCTATGTACCAAAGGGATTTTTTTTCAAATTACAGGCACCAAAACAGAACAACAAAACTGAAAATAGGAACACCATCTATAATGTTTGAACCAGTTCTGCAAGACTTGTTGTCTCATTCCGGGACTTGACTTTGGGGGCAGTTTGTGTTTCTATTTTTGTGGATAGTTCTGGTGTAAATGAACTTTGGTACTTTGCACATAAAAAAAGAATAACCACTCAACTCTGATCTTGTTTTATTTGTCATTTTGTTTACTGCTGTCATCTTCTCTTTACAAATAATCTTCGGTTCATACAGATAAGAGAAATAAGTCATACCCAGCCAGGAGGTTTCTAATGGTAAATGTTAATGTTGACATCCCATTGCTTGAGTTGTTTGGGTGGAGACACAGACTTAATAATTCCCTGTGTCTCCTATCAGAACGGCCCTTTGAACAAGTGGAATATTTGCTGATGACTTAGCACAAGCGAAGGACTCGTTTCGGTTTTGGCATCCTGGATTTGGGATTGAGGGGAGTGCCCAGTCTGCTGTTTTAAAATAACCAGAGCAGCAGAAAGTATGGTCTAGAAGTTCTGTGCGTTAGCGATATGACGCCGGGCTCTAGCTAAAGGGCTGCATCTCAATAGTCTCCTGTGCGCTTCATCAAACAGGTAAAGTTCCTTTTTAAACAGACAACTAAAGGGACATTTGAGTAATATCCGTTATGCATAGGTAATCTCCGTTTGCTGCAGTAATTACGCAGTCACAACAAAACTGTCTTGCCGCAGCAGTGAAAGAGTCAAATATGGATTTTTTTGTTTCAGTGGGCGTGTTTTCATCCAGATAACTGGACTGGGAGAGGAGCAGAGTCTTCTGTCGAGCACTTCTCCTGTACCTACGTGTGCTTTCCATTGAAGGGCTCCCACTCGGCGATAATAAACATTTAGCTTTAGTTAAATCTCATTCAGAAGATGCGACACGCAGACGGGCGGTGAACGAGCCAGCGTGGCAACGACGTGCGTTCAAACACGCTAAAAGTTGTTTTTTTTATTATTCAAAGTTGCCTTTTTAGTGATAATTTGTTTCAGAAGATACTACTATGCAAACCGACAAATCGGAGCCGAGTGAACCCAAGGGCGCAGAGAGTCCGACGACAGGAGACACCGAGAAGACGGGACTGGACACCCAGGTGAAAGAAGCTCCCAAACCGAAGGGCATAAGTGCAGTGGCCGTGCTCTGGACGTTTGGGAAATGTCTGGGCGCCTTGTTGCCCGTTTACCTGGCTGGTTACTACCGCGTCAGCACCGGTCTGCTGGTGTGCGGCATGATGGTCTACACGGGATGGAAACATGCCCGAGAAGCCAAGGAGGCGCGCCTGAAGTCAGCCATATATTTCGACAACGACCAGGAGTTCACGTCCACGGGGGTGTCCAAAATCAAACGGGACCTTCCCGCATGGGTAAGAAATGACCCCACAGCTGCCAGAGTGTCTTATTCATCCAAAATCTATCCAACAGCCCCCATGACGCAGCAACAGTGACTTCACCGAGCAGGCACAACCCAGCAGTGGACCCTAAAATCATATCCCTGCTCTCCCTGGCAGTCTGATAAACAGCTGGATTCCATTAAACCAGCCAAGTCATTGCTGTTTTGTAAGGACATAAAAGCCCATCCTTCTGAAGTATCATTTTTAGTTTCTCTAGGAAAAGGTTTCCCATAATTCATTTCCCCATAAAATAGACACTTTGGGTCCCCCACCCCCCATTATTTCCTCTAACACCATTGCTGATGTGCTCTGTTAGTATTTTGAGAATAAACTTGTTTAAAGAATTGCAGCTGAGTGCATTAAACAGCAACAGTTATGGCATTTAAATTGTCTAATCCTTTGAGCAGTTTTAACTAAGGGAGACTGGAAAATGTTTATGAAGTATAAGAGTGTAGTACAACTTTATAAAATGTGTACCCAACATGTAAATGCTAAAAGCCACATGGGTCTGTTTTGACTCGGAGCATCTGGCCACACCCAAATGAAGGCCCCCAGGATATTTTCAGACATTTGTTTGCATAACAAGATGGTATACTCCTCATTAAACTTTTCAAAAAGGGGAAGATCCATATTGCTTGATCAGTGCTACTCTGCTGTATGCATAACAAATTGCCAGTTAGGATTTTCTCTAACAGAATCCTATGAAATATAAATGGAGAAGTCATTTCAAGCACTTGTATTGCAAACGTATCTCTCATTCAAAGTGATCTTTGTATTGACAGTTGTACTTGCCTGCTTTTTTTGGGGAATAGTTGCTCAGTCTGAAACCTGATCAGCACTGGAATGATATTAGCAGTGCTACTGATGACATTTCCTGTTCTAAATCACATCCCTATCCTGTTGTTTGTTTACCTCTCTCTATTGCATTTCTTTTCCTTAAGGTCAACTTTCCAGATGTTGAGAAGGTCGAGTGGCTAAATAAGGTAATATCAGTGGTGTCTGTTTGTACTTCAGCTTTTCACCATATGACTTTTACACAAAGACTGTTATTCCTCCTTTATTAAGCCCACAGCACACACACGTCTGTGCATCCACCAGCCCAGCTGTTGTGTTGATTGACTTTTGGTGGTGTATGCTAGGTTGTTAGCTGGTGCTATTTGATAGATGGTAGCACTGCTGTTGTTGCTCCCTTGTCCCAGAAATGGCCTCACACTCCCACTTAGCGTAGCCACTCCGTTTGTACTGCAGAGAGCAGGAGCAGTGCCAGGCAACCCTCTCGGCCTTGCCATTTCATTGCAGCCTAGCTCTCAGGAAGAGGGAGGAGCCGCCCAGTCCCCCAAACTAAATAAAACTGCAGCTATTGTCCCCCTCCCCACCCCTCACTCATCAATGCTCTTCTAGCCCAGAGAAACTAAGTAAACTAATATGGGGACACAGAGATAAAAGTATCCAGGGATCGTGAGATCTGTGCACCAGAGAGCAGACAAAGCAGAGTTTTGACAGAGATTACCGGAGGGAGGAGACCAGCAGATTTCCACTGTTGCTCAGACTTCATCCTTCACAGGAGCAGGCGGCCGATGACTCACTCTCCACTTATGCTAGACTGTAACCAACTCTGTGTTTTCCCCCCCACAACCACACAAGCACACAACCAAATGCTGCCTCTGCTGCTAGATGATTTCTCTGGAGGAATGAATTAAAGGCTAAACATGTTTACGTAACCACATTAATTACATTCTTTGATTAAAAAAAAAAAAAGTTTAAGAGTGGAGTGCTCTGATATGTAGAGCACATGATTTCATATCTCTGGTTACATGTTATGTGTCTTACTAATAAAAGCTTGGTGGCCTGACCAGGTGCTGCAGCAGGTGTGGCCCTTTGTTGGCCAATACATGGAGAAGCTGCTGGTGGAAACCATCGCCCCGTCCATCCGAGCCTCAAGCACCCACCTCCAGACCCTCAGCTTCACAAAAGTGGACATGGGAAACAAGGTGATGCCAATAAATGATAAAATGACACAGCTCTAAAGATTCACGCAAATGATACGTACTGTTTATATTGTTCAAACAAATGTGCTTCCTGCTTGCTTCAGGCCATGAAGGTCGTAGGGATCAAGGCACACACAGAGAATGAAAAGGGACAAGTGTTGCTTGATCTCTATATCAGGTGAATGTTTATCCATTGCTCTTTGGATTTACGAGTCACTGTCACCTCTGTATTAAAGTTGTTACAAGGCATTAGTGACATCTGTTCTTTTATCCTCAGCTATGTCGGTAACGTAGAGATCAACGTTGAGGTGAAAAGATACTTCTGCAAAGCTGGAGTCAAAGGAATACAGGTGTGTTTTCTTATCAAGCTTGCATCATTACATATATTTGCATTCTGTGTAAAATTTCTTAATTTAGAGAAGTTTTTAATAATCTAAAAGCTTAAAGATTATTACACCTTCATGCGGCTGTTTTGTTAGTATTTAGCAGCTATTTCACAAACATCCTTTCTGTGTCTCTGTCTTTAGCTACAGGGGATGATGAGGGTGATTCTGGAGCCGCTGATTGGGGACGTCCCCATTGTGGGTGCGGTCACCATGTTTTTCATCCGGAGGCCCGTATGTCCATCTACAGTCACCTCTGTTTGTCCTTTCCTTGTTGCCCCCCCTCAACCCTCGTTCCTGTGACTATCATGTGTCTCACTTTAGCCTTGTCTACCATTCATGATATTGATTTCCCATCTATCCTGGTTGATTTGCTGCATACAGCACATACTTTGGTGTAATCTTTTCACAGCAACTAGACATCAATTGGACTGGACTGACTAATTTGTTGGACATCCCTGGACTGAAGTGAGTCATGGTGGAATAACTTGACTCTGTAATCAGTAGTAGTCACAGCATTATTATAAATAACCTCACAATATCTTACCACTGTGTGGATTTTTATTATTGAGTGAACTATAAATTATGTAGTTCAGTTTATTTACGCTGAAATGTTATTTTCTCCTCTGTCTTAGTGTCATGTCAGACAGCATGATTATGGATGCCATTGCCTCCTTCTTGGTTTTACCAAACCGCCTCGTTGTCCCCCTGGTTCCTGGTCTGCATGTGGCTCAGCTACGTTCTCCTTTGCCCAGGGTAAAAAGCCAGAAATATCCATGTGCAGGTAGAAATGTTATTTCAGTAAGGCCCTAACCCCCGTCCCCTTTCTTTTTTCCTTAGGGTGTGGTACGCATCCACCTATTGGAGGCACAGAATCTAGCAGCAAAAGACAATTATGTGAAAGGGGTCATGGCTGGCTTGTCTGACCCCTATGCCATACTGAGGGTGGGCCCTCAGACCTTCACCTCCCGACACATTGACAACACAGATGCTCCTAAATGGGGAGAAATGTACGAGGTAAGGAGACTGGAGGGTTTTATGGGAAATCTGAAATTTGTGTTCATTACTCTGCATGTATGTGTTGGTAGATTCTTTTGTTTTCCATAGGTCATATCATCTTATTCTGTAGTTGAGGGATTAGTGTGTTACAGTGCAGAGAGTGTTCGTTTTCATTCATGAGGTCACAGCCAGCTTCCATACAAAGCCCTGCGTCAGTCCTCATGTCCTTGTGTGTCTGGTACATCAGGTTATAGTCCATGAAGTGCCTGGTCAGGAGTTGGAGGTGGAGGTATATGACAAAGACCCAGACCAGGATGACTTCCTGGGCAGGTACATATGCATTGTTCATGTCTGTCATGCATCTGTGTTTCATCTGTCACCGTTCATGACCAGTTTGGAAAAAAAAGACCTTTTTTAAAATCGCAGCGTCTGCCACATATGCTCTTTATTTTCACCCCTACATTTCTTCTCTTGGTAACACTCCTCCTCCCTTTAGGACTAAATTGGATTTGGGCATTGTGAAGAAATCCATAGCTGTCGATGATGTGAGTAAGCTGTTATCATCTCAGCCACAGCAGCCAGTTGTTTAATCTTTAGATTGTAAATCTGTGCCTGTGGCTGTTTTCCAGTGGTTCACTTTGAAAGACACTAAGTCCGGACGGGTTCATTTGAGACTGGAGTGGTTGGCCTTGCTGCCCAGCACCGATCAACTAGAGCAGGTTTGAGTCTCTCATTTCCACTGACTACGTAGGTTTTTCTTTTTTTGTGTGTGTCATTCGCCACTCTGTCAAACATTTACAGTAAAAAAAAAAAAATCTTTTTACAATTCTCTCCCAGATCCTAAAGAGGAATGAGAGTGTGACGGTTAAGACTGAAGATCCACCTTCTTCTGCCATTTTGGTTGTATATCTGGACAAGGCAGAGGCGCTTCCTGTGAGTCAAATGCCATCTCTACCCTCTCTGCTCTCGTTTGTGCTCAGTTCAGAGCCACTTCCTGTGTATGGTTAAACTGAGTCAGAGCTGTAAATGCCACCTGTTTAACAAAGCTGTTGCTTTGGCCTCCAGCTCTGAGTGCGACTAACTTTGTCCAAGGGCCACACATTTGCTGCTGTGCTAATTTCTGCTCTTGTATCCTACAGTGATAGAATCTGTGGAATGAAGTTCAGTCCTTTTGTGTGTGTGTGTGTGTGTGGGGGTGTGTGGGGGGGGGGGGTGATGCATAGTTATACTTCCTGAATATGCCATCTAGTATGCCACTTCCCTTCAGTTATTTGTGCTGTTGCTATGGTTACTTTATACACACTATTATTCAGACCAACTGTGTGTTGTCAGAATGGCAGATAAGTCTATTATTGTACTGCTACTAGAATATCATTGTTCACATATCTTAAGTTTAAGTTACAGTGTATACATAGTTGCAACTGAATCTTTTAGATGAAGAAGGGAAACAAAGAGCCCAGTCCCATGGTGCAGCTGTCTGTGCAGGACATCACTAAAGAGAGCAAGGTATATCAACTGAGAAAGTCCATTATAATACTGTAGATTGTTTCATTTCTTTTTGTCTTGTATGCATCTTGAACTTTTAATTTAAATCATTTTTACTGATTGTTTTTCATGTAGACTTGTCTCACAACTGTTAATCCAGAATGGGCAGAAGCTTTCACCTTCTTCATCCACGATCCTCGCAAGCAGGACATAGCCATTCAGGTATGTGCTCAGACGCCATGCAGGTAGTCTGCATTCTGATAGACACACTTGGAGTCTTATTTACTTTTGTCCATGTTAAATGAACCAGGTGAAGGATGCTGACCGTGTGCAGACGTTGGGCACTCTGACCATCCCAGTGTCCCGTCTGCTGTCCAGTGCCAGTCTTTCTCTGGACCAGTGGTTCCAGTTGGACAACTCTGGATCTGCCAGTCGCATCTATATCAATACAGTTCTCAGGGTAAATGAAACAAGCCCCATTCTGTCACTGCATTAGACCTGTGGTGGACTGGTAAATACTCCAGAACTAATTAGTACAGTGTAGGTTTTTAGTTACAGCATATCATCAAAAACGTAAAATGGTGTCTTAACTGAATTTACATTCTTGGATTTCGGTCACATTTTATTCCTTCAGTCTCACTCTCCCTTTTTCCCACTATAACAAAGGTCCTGTGGTTAGATGAGGAACATATTGCATCTGGTGTGTCATCTAATATGGCGGCTGGACTGTCCGAAGAGCTGCCCCAGCAGACCTCTCCTCATCCTAGCTTTGCCACAGAGGTAAAGGAGGACAGTGGATTTTTGCATTCTTTTAAAGGTCTGAGCCTATTGCACGTACTTCAGGTGTATTTAATTTTTCAGGGGTTGCTCAGAATTCACCTGCTGGCGGGCCAGAATCTTGTTCCGAAAGATAACTTGATGGGAGGAATGGTAAAAGGCAAGAGTGACCCCTATGCCAAGATCAACATGGGGGGCGAAACATTCACCAGTCATGTTGTCCAGGGCAATCTCAACCCCACCTGGAATGAGATGTATGAGGTAAATAACACAAAGTCACTGAAAGAACATGAAAGATTATGGCGATTGCTGTGAAAATTTAAAATATGATTGAAATTTGCATTTGTTCTGAGAGAGTCGATTGAAATGTGCTGTTTCAGGTGATTTTAACCCAGCTGCCAGGGCAGGAGCTGCATGTGGAGGTGTTTGATAAAGACATGGACATGAAGGATGACTTCATGGGCAGGTAGCTATTTATGATTTAACCATCACATGTGCTCATTAGATTCAAGATACATTCTAATTTTATATTTCTTAACATACAGGCTGAAGATCAATCTAAAGGACATCATAGATTCTCAGTACACTGATCAGGTGGGAGCCTTCACAGCTGCATTCTCAGGGTTTGGAGTGTGGTTAGAATTAGGGAAAAGTCCACATGAAGGTCTGACACTGAGGAATTAAAACTGATCAGTTTAACTTAGGTCTGTCACATCAGGTGTATCCTTTGCCATTACACCCCTGCACAGAAACATTTGGAATATTAGAAAAAGGACAGTCTTAGTTTTAGACGGTGTCTATAAAGTTGGTCAGTGATGGAACATGTTGGGATTTCTCTTGTTTGGATTGTTGCCAGTAGCTCCTCTGATAATAAATTTCTCTTTATTTCTCAGTGGTACACCCTCAGTGATGTGAGGTGTGGGCGACTTCACCTGGTACTGGAATGGGTTCCAACAGTTTCACAGTCAGACAGATTGGAAGACGTGAGTATTTTCTGATCAAGTTATGGATTATTGGACTCTTTGTGGTAAGCTTAGTTCCTACTCACCAGGTCTTTTCTGTGTCTTTAGGTGCTTCAGTTCATTTCCAAGCAGTCCTACCAGAACAAGGCAGTGCCCTCAGCCGGGCTACTGTTTGTTTATATCGAACAAGCAGATGGCTTACCAGTGAGTCTTTTAATATTACTGTGAAGGAGAGTGCGTAGGAGTAGCAGTTAACCTTTGAACTCCCATTGCCTGTTCTGTCTCCCTGCAGGTGAAGAAGAGTGGAAAAGATCCAAAAGTGGGAGCAGAGATTACTCTTGGAGAAACATCTCGCAAAACTACAGTAAGAGTCCAGACCTCGTTCAGATTATACTGTGTTTTAATGCCTCTGCTCGAGCACAATATCTGTTAATAATATTGACTCACTCTTGCATCTCCTCTGAAGGTGTGTGATCGCACCACATCACCTCAGTGGAATGAGGCATTCTGCTTCCAGGTTCGAGACCCCAGAAAAGATAGTCTTGTGGTTAAGGTAGGCTGGCTTCAGCTCCCAGTCAAAGCCTTGTCAATGCATACAGTATAATCTATGCTAACACCCTCTGTTGTGTTTTCCTAGCTCTCCCACAGCTGGACCCTCCCAATTGGTTCCCTGGTGGTTCCTGTTAGAGAGCTGCTGTCTGAACCAGACCTGGTCCTGGACCAGTGGTTCCATCTGGATGGAGCCTCACCTGAGAGTCAGGTTCTTTTAAGGGCTGAACTAAAGGTGGGAGACATCTGTCAGTGTGTCATTTTCTATGCGTGTCTGATTCTAAATATTAAATATATCTTCTCAGGTTTGTTTTCCTCAATCCATCTATCACTTTCACTACATATCCCTTTATCTGTTTCTAATCATTGCCCTTTTCTCAGTTTTTTTCTGTATATATATCTTGGTTTCCTTGTGTAACTACAGTTTCATACACTCAGGTTGGAGTCATTAAAACTGATTTTTTACCACTCCATAGATTTCATGTTAAAAAAACTCTCATTTTCACAAGTCGGTTAGGACGTACCTATTCATGAAACAAGTCATTTTTCCAACAGTTGTTTACAGATTTTTTTTTCACTTGTACACAATTCCAGTGAGTCAGAAGTAATGGCTTTAAAAGCTTCTGATAGGCTAATTGACATCATGTGAGTCAACAGGAGGTGTACCTGTGGATGTGTTTTAAGGCCTACTTCCAAACTCAGTACCTTTTTGTTAGACGTCATAGGAAAATCTGAATAAATCAGCCACGACCTTGTGGACCTCCACAAATCTGGTTCACCCTTGGGTGCAATTTCCTTAAAGTACCACGTTCATTTGTACAAACAATACTATGCAAGTATAAACACCACGGGACAATGTAGCCATCATACCAGTCAGAAAGGAGACAGGTTTTGTCTCCTAGAGTTGAACATACTTTGGTCTGAAAAGTACAAATCAATCATAGAACTTTGCTGCAGGAGAGACTGAGCCACTCCACCAAATACATGGCGTCATGAGGAAGGAAGATTATGTGGATATATTGAAGCATCATCTCAAGAAATCAGCCAGGAAGTTAAAGCTCAGTCACCAGTGGGTCTTCTAAATGGACAGTGACCAAAGCAGACCTCGAAAGCTGTGTCAAAATGGCTCTGACCCACTGGGAATGTCATGAAAGAAATAAAAGGTGGAATAAATCTTGTTCTCTACTATTATTCTGACACTTCACATTCTTAAAGTAAAGCAGTGATCCTAACTGACCTAAGACTGGAAGTATTTATAGGATTAAATGTCAGGAGTTGTGGAAAAACTGAGTTTAAACGTATTTGGCTAAGGTGTATGTAAACTTCTGACTTCAACTGTACATGCTACTGGAAAAAATACAACTAGGTCACAAGTAAAAGATTTGGGAGTTTTTGAGGTGTGGGACAATTTCACATAATGTTAATGATAATATTAATTATATTATGATAATATATGATAATATTAATTAATGTCTTAGTATCTGTTATTCCTGTTCCCCATTCAGCCCTGGATTGTTTTCAAGTTCTTCCATCCTCCTTTCTTTTACCCCCTCTTTTCATGAAGTTATTAATTCAGCATCACATACCATATATACTGAATTTCTAACAGTTAATAATATCTATGAATTTAGATCCTAATTAGTTATATCAACTTAAAGCAGAAGCAGTAATGCACTGTTCCACTGTACAGTGTTGATGCACAAACAGGGTCTATAGAAGAGTCATCAGAAGGAAACCTTAACTGCGACTTTATCAAAAAAAGTCAACATCTGAAATATTCAGAGCAATATCTGAAGATGCCAGAGCCATTTCGGAAACAAATGCTGTGCACACATGATATTAATCTTAAAGCTAGTCAGATTTTAAATGCAATGTGCTGCAAGACAGCCTAAAAATATCTCAGCCTGGAGTGATGTGCAGGAAGAGGAGTAGGTGAAAATTAAATCTGTGACATGAACAGAAACAACTTTTGAAAAAGGCAATTTTTTATGTGTGTCTGCTGTGGCTGTATTTACTTCTTTTCAAATCTAAATTCAACAAAACATTGGATTTGCTCAGAGGTCCCCAAGCAATTATTACAATGGTGTATGCACAACAATAATGGTTCCTTGCCTGTTTGTTGGCGAAAACAAGGAGGACCGCATCTCTCAGTTCATCCTCAGCCAGCATCCTCATTAGCTCCTCTCGTGCTTCGTTCACACGCTCTCTGTCATTACTGTCCACCACAAAGATTAAACCTGAAACAACAAGAAGAACATCCATCCATCCATCCATTATCTCCACTGCTTATCTCGAAATGAGGACAAAGATCTTACTTTGTGGAGAAATGTCCTCTGGTCTGATGAAACAAAATCTGAACTTTTTGTTTATAATGACCATCGTTATATCTGGAGGAAAAAGGGGGAGGCTTGCAATCTGAAGAATGCCATCCCAACCCTGAAGCATGGGGTTGGCAGCGTCAGGCTGGGGGGGGTCTTTGCTGCAGCAGAGACTGGGCCAATAGGAAGGACGATTATGTGGATATATTGAAGCATCATATAGCCACGAAGCCAGGAAGTTAAAGCTTGGTCACCAATGGGTCTTCTAAATGGACAGTGACCCAAGCAGACTTCAAAAGCTGTGGCAAAATGGATTAAGAACAACAAAGTCAAGGTGTTGGAGTGGCCCTTACCTCAATCCAATAGAGAATTTGTGTGCAGAACTGAAAAAGAGTGCGAGCAAGGAGGCCTACAAACCTGACTCATTTCCACCAGTTCTGTCAGGAGGAATGGACTGAAATTCCATTCTGTTTACATGTCTCAATCTCTGTATCTTGCACTCAGTTTGCCCCCATTTTTCCTGTTAATTAATAGTTGTGAGGCTTTAGAGGGAGTTCTTTTGTAAATTTGTCAGTGTTTTATTGATTTTGACTGGTAAAAAAGCTGGTTTAGAAAGTGAAATAATAATAATAATATCGACTCCACTGCAGATGCTGATTTCTAGCAAATGTCCTGGTGCCCCTGAAAAGGCTAAGGTCACTTTAGTGTCCGACCCCTCCCCTGCTCAGCTTAAACAAGTGACAGACACAGTGATGAGGTGAGAGAGTTTACTCTGAAAAGTCATTTCTTTTTATTTGTCTTGTTTCTATTAAATTTCTAGCTACTGCTTCTGTTTTTAGGTCAAGCTCAGTGGACACACCTCCTGTGGAGACAGTTGTCTCCTCAGTGAGTTTGCATAAGGATGCTGATGTAAAGGAAAAAGCAGGTGATGTGACTGAAGAGAAGCTGGAAGAATCACCAAGCCCTGCTATAACACGTCCTGCTCATACCTCCCCAGACCTCAGCTTTGCCAGTGAGGTAACATTGCAAGACTGTGATCTACAGTACCAGATATAAGCAAGCAGGACATGACGCCATCACGTTTCATACAAAAATCTATCACTAAGAAGTTAAATGATCTTTTCCTGTAGGGGCTGCTGAGAATCATCCTGTTGGAGGCCCAGAGTCTGGTTGCTAAAGACAACATGATGAGTGGACTGGTGAAGGGCAAGAGTGACCCCTATGGCAAGATCAGTGTTGGAGAGGTCACGTTTAGGAGTAATGTGATCAAGGAGAATCTCAACCCTGTCTGGAATGAGATGTATGAGGTGTGTGGAGGGGACTGTACAGTATGAGTGCTCCTGAGTGTGAGTTCAAATAGAGATGACGGTGATAAACGCCTCACTGTTCTGTGCTCCCTGCAGGTGGTGCTGAGGCCTCAGCCAGGACAAGAGGTACAAGTAGAGCTGTTTGACAAAGACATGGACAAGGATGACTTCTTGGGCAGGTATGGTGGAAAATGTGGAGGTTTCTAGTTTTTCAGCAATGACTCAAAGGCTCCCTAACTCCTGGTCTTTAATGCCTCAGCATGATGTTCATTAAACGTGTGTTTATGGGCCTAAATTCATCATTTATCCATATGTAAAAAAACTGCCAGTCGGTTTTGGAGAGTTTTTAGTGGTGAATCTTCACTTCACTCATTGTGCATTTGGTGCATGTGAAAATGTGCATGTTCTTCTTTACTGTGGACAGATTCAAAATCAGCATGGCAGACATCATCCGTTCTCAGTACACAGACCAAGTGAGTGCTCCATGCTTGCTGTGTCTAAACATGTTTCTCCCTGGTATAATCATTCACTAATGGTACGTTTCTGTCTCAGTGGTACACCTTGAATGAAGTGAAATCTGGGCGTGTTCGCCTGATACTGGAGTGGGTTCCTGAAGTGTCTCATAATGACACCCTGGACCAAGTTAGTGCAAATTTTCATAACTTGTTTCTTCTTCTATTCATCAAATCAAATGTATTTATATAGCACTTTAAAAACAGCAACCATTTAACCAAAGTACTTTACTTTAGTCATGCACATAATTATGATTTTGATCATTTGTGCTGCCTGTTTCTGTCTCATCTGTGTGGTTCCAAATAAGATTGCCTGCTCAGTAGATTGATTGTGCATATCAGTGCTGAGTCACTCTAATGTATTTTTAACTTGATTCTCTGCTGCAGGTAATGCAGATGCAGTCTCTCCAGTGTTACCAGAACAAGGCTGTTCCCTCTGCAGCTCTGCTCTTTGTCTATGTAGACAGAGCACACTCATTGCCTGTGAGTCCCTTGTAATTATTTACACTGAAAATCTCGTTATGGATAGATGGAGGTAAGGACATAAACAAATACACTATTCTACTCTAGAAATTGTTTTTGTAAGTAATCACTGGGTCAAAAAACAAGACTGAGTCAGGAATGTTTTGTTTGAGTGAATACAAACTATTCACACAATTTTTCATGTTTGTCTGTATCCAGTTTAAGAAAAGTGGAAGTGAGCCCAAGGCTGGGGCTGAGCTTGCATTTGGTAAAACAACCTACAAAACCAAGGTATGACACTGATAATGAAGGAATGACACACACACACACACACACACAGTCTGTAGAATGTTATGATGACGTATCCATTACAGTTTCCCAGAAACCAAAACAGAGCATTCATAAATGATTAAAATCTTACAGGATAAATGACTAAAAGCCACCACATAAAAATTGAAACATTTAGCTCTGGCGCCCCCCAGTGGCTGTATTGAAAAACACATAAGGCTTGACAGTCTTGTATACCAGCACCCAATTAAGATGTTTAAAATACCAGCTGAAACTGTGAGAAATTATTTTATCGAAGTGCATTAAATGTAAATGTAAAATTTTGTTGTACTGTTTAACCATTGACTTCCATTTCCCTCTTTATCTGCCTAAAGGTGTGTGATCGATCCAGATCACCTCAGTGGAAGGAAGCATTCTACTTTTTGGTTCGGGACCCTAGAGAGGAGATGCTCATAGTGAAGGTGAATGTACTGTGTCTCACGGTTCTATCCATCGATGTATTTGATGAACAAGGCATCGCCACCTCCCTCAACTATGCAAAAATGAAGCCATGACCCTTGGTGGCTTAGCCTGCCCATTGCTTTTACAGTCAATCATACTGTCCAAAAAAATACTACACCTGCTGTTGTTAGAAACATGTCAACCTCTGACATTGTAAGTGTGTCCTTATCACTGTAGTTGTCCAGTGCGTGGGACCAGCCAATGGGGTCTCTGGTGCTTCCTGTGAGAGAGCTGCTCTCTGAGCCACAGTTGGTTCTGGACCAGTGGATGCATCTGGATGGAGCTTTACCTGAAAGTGAGATCTTACTGAGGGCGGAACTCAAGGTATGAGAATACACACAGAGGATTAGTGCCATTGTCTGTGATGCATAGAATAACCAACCAAGAACCTGTTGGCTCCAGATCCTTAATTCAAGGATGACTGAAGCTCCACAGCCATCTGTAACTGGTTCAAAGAAAGAGGAACTGGTTACCATCACTGACAAAACATCTAAAGCAGCTAGTGAGGAGGAAAAACACTCACAGCTGCCAACACATGAGTGAGTGTTTTATGCCTGATTTAAGAACGCACACATCAAAACTGTTGCAGGGTACTGTAAGACTGTAGCCTAATTTAGAAACCATCACCAGCCTGCTACTAAAGCCTGCTAATCAAATAAAAGGAGTAATAAAAACACATTTGAAACATAAACAAGCACTAATAAAGGCTAAATATAAAGTACGGTGCCTGTGTGTTTGTGCAGGAACAGGGGGATTTGCAATACTGGGAAATATCCTTCTTTACATCCAGAAAATAAACAGGACAAGTGTGAAAGTTCATTCATAGCTGTGTAAAGCTAAAAGAAAAGTTTTTTTTTCTTGTTAGTTTCAGTGAGAAGTCTGGTTGTGCTTTGTAAAGCAGTGGGGTTTTTTTTTCTTCAGGTCTGTTGCAGCAGCCAGCAAATCTACACCCGCTGAGCCATCTGCCATTCACACTGCGTCTGATACATTCCCTGCTGCTGCAGTGAGTTCATATCATGCAAAAGTCAGTCATTATTACGTTCTGTGTAGTTTCACCTTCATGACTTTAATGAATTTTTGTTCAGCTGTTGAAAGAACCAACAGATGCAGAAGAGCATCCCACACAGTCGAACAAAGCAGTGAAAGGAGACACTGAACCACAGCAAATACAAACAAAGTGGTGAGCTCCACAATGCAGACAGCTGCATTTATTTTTCCGTTCATTATTAACTTTAAAGAGCCATAAATGTGAAGAATAGCAGAGCTGGAACTTGCTAATTTGCATTGGTGACCACCACAAAGAAACTGAACACATTTCTGCATTCTGTGTCTTTCTGCATGAATACAGTGGCGGGCTAGATGACCTCACCCACGCCACGGTGACTGGGCTTCCTGGCGAAAACCGCCAACAGAGCTCAAAGAAATCCCCAAAGCTGGTGAAGTTCTTCCACCACACACCAAGCCCAGCCAGGACTTTGGTAAAGAGGTGGGTTTAGTTTATGCCTTGATTAGTAGAGTGGAAGTTGAGCCCCCCCACTGTCTAATGGGATTTGTTCTCCATCATTAGGTGTGTTTCCACCAGAAAGTCCCTGGTACTTTTCATTCCCAGGAACTAAAGCTCAAGAGCTGTCCCTGGGATAAAAGTCCCTCAAGTGCATCGTGATTTGCATTGCACAACAGGGCTGAAGCCTGGGAAGCATTAAACACATTAACCTGCTGATGTAAAAGCACGACAGTCTGCAGCAGGGTTGTAAGAATGCTGCATGTACAGTAAGATGCTGGTTATTGTTAACACATACCAGTGGTGGAGGACAGACTGCAGGCAAAACTGAAATGATCACTTTTCTGCAAGTTTATGCACATTGAACAGGTGTGTTTAATTTTTTTAACTCTCCAAGAAAACCAACATTTCAGTAATGGTGGTTTTCTTCAGGATCTAGCTCAGTAATGTTTGATGAACCAGATCAGCACCAAAATCTAAGGGATTGTTTCCTGTGCCATACCCACCCTCTCCAAATAAAAAATCTCATCCAAATTCATTCATTATTTTTTGAGTAATGCTATGAACAAGCCAACCAACAAACACCTATAAAAGCATAACATCCGCCTTGGCAGTAATCTTTTTCTTTTGTTAGGGCTTCAGTTTGCCTGCAGTCATTTGATGGTGATTAGTTCAGTGAACAGACGCTGCTGGGTCTCAGTCTGTCATGTGGGTTTTCTGAATAACCCCTCACATTTTTTTCCAAACACAGTGAATGTGCCACTTCTTCATGTCTTAAAATATCATGTCAATTTCTGCTGGGATGATT